AAAAAAAAAAAAACCCAAGAAAAAAAAAGCAAAACTCAGGTAAATATGGCAGTTTCACTGAAAATTTTGCCGAAAATGACACCACCTATTAACCACGGGCACACTCTTTGTCACGAGGAGATCAAACAAAAGACGGGGAGACTGGTTGTGAGAGCGGTTTGAAGACAGGTTCTTGGGGGATGTTGTCTTCTTCTTTTTTCTTAAATCGCAAAGACTCGTGCACAGGCAAGCTTTGGGGTAAATAAAAAAGCGGTATTCCTAAGGTTAGGCACTGTTAGGGGACTCGCCCCGCGGCAGGCCTGGGGCCTGAAGACGGGTTCTGGGGGATGTTGTCGTCTTCTTTTTCTTAAAAGGGTACTGTACCGTAGTCCTAACAGGGCGCGGACATTGTTCTTAAGGGGGGACATTGTTCTGTTTGTTTATGACTCTGTTATGATTTTTTTTTTTCAAATTTATTGAGGTTTCATTGCAGCACATGGGCTCCGACTTGACTCTCGAAATGTGCTCCAATAGTCCTGCGGACTGTCGGGGCTGGCATTTTACTTTTTCTTTTCAGATTATTTGGATTTATTTGGATTTGTTTGGATTTATTTGGATTTATTTGGATTGTTGCTAGGCTACCAGAGTGGCCCGGGGTCACTTGCCCGGCCGGGCCAAAAAAATTAAAAAAAATAAAAATAAAAACATTATTTTTAGAATTTATTTTTTATTCTAAATTTGGTGAAGAATGTCGATGTGACCCTGGGGCAAAAGTTGTTCAGTTTATTTTTCTGCATAACATAGTCTTTTTTCGGATTTTTTGGAATTTGTTTTATTTTATTTTCTTTTGTTGGGACAGTCCCTCGTCCCTTGCACGGGCTGGCCACCCGGGATCCGGGCGGCCCGGCTGGTAGCCTGGGATATTTGGATTTATTTGGATTTATTTCTCAATTCATTTCATCTTATTTCAATGTATTTGAAAATTATTTCAATTTATTTCAGTTTAATCTGTAATCATTTGCCTTCTTGGACCTGATCTGTTCTTCTGCGATATTCCTTTCGGTTCTTGCAGCTGTGTTTTCTCGCTGCTCTGTGTCTGTTCTTGCTGATGTTGTCTCTTTCTTTCTTTCTTTTTTTTTTTTTTTTTTTTTTTTTTTTTTTCACTCCTGACAACAAGCCGTGGGCTCTGTGCCTGCTCATTGCTCGACTGGTGTCACAGATGGAAAGCCATTGCGATGGCTGCAAAATATTCTTGATCCTCTTCAAGCGCTTCTTGCTGATGGCTGTCACCTCACAAGGGACACGCTTGTGACCATCGAGGCGGCACAATTCCAATCTGTGGATGTGAAGTCCTTCACCTTGGGAAGTGCTGGCCCTCTTGGCCCTCACATCATGGGAATTGCGACACTTCCCTAGAGTATCGCGAAGGCACATCGACGAATTTCAGCTAAGTACCCTGTCAAAGGGAGAGCGCCTACTTCGAAGAAATGCATCCTATCGTTTGTTTATAACTTTATACTACTTTATACACACTGCTCATATGATCGCATCACATAACTACCATCTCAAATGATTTCATGTGATTATATCAGTATTAATTTAGTGGTGTGACATTAACTGTTTAGATGATATGATATGATGATGCTATTAATAGACGAAGAAGGCCTCCCATTTTGGGCTTGCTACGGTATTATAAGGTCCGAGAGAGGCTCAGTGCATACATTGACAGATTATAGATTGCGTGATATGATGCTATTAATAGTGTGTGCTGTTCATTACGTTTCATTTGGATTTGAACACAGGCCTATTTTTTTCAGCAGTCCATGGGTGAACAACCAACTGAGCTAGGGCAACTCATTGTGAATAAACCTGGGGCCGGTCAGTTTGACAATGATGTCGGGTAGATGTTGGCAAAATTTCATGAAAATGCGCTTTTGCCTTGCTGTTTTATATGCTTTTTATATTTATTTTTTTTGGATTTTGTTTTGCAGTTAGTTAGTATGGTCTCCACTCTACGAATTGGTGGCAGGTTTGATTAAAATGACCCCTTCGGTTTTCATATAAATGGCATGGCAAGCCCTTCCTTTTGCGCAGGGTACTATGCAGTCTGAGAGCGGCTCAGTGCATACTCGCATGAGGATTTCAATGGATGAATCTGAAAGCAATTTTGTATTGTCTTGGATGAATCTGACCGCAATTCCGTCCAGGAATTAGTCAAAAAAAAGTGATCACGTGCTCATGCAAGAATAGCATCGGTGCAGTACGAGCTTCTCATACTGCGTTTGAATTCCAAGAGGTCCCCAAAGAGTCGCCGCTTTCAAACGAGGGAGCATTCAGGAAGGGGTTTGATTCTGGTCGAACCTTATGGCGATGTTCCAAGTCTTCAGTGGCTGTCAGCGCAACAGGCCAGCATGGGTGCTCACACATTTCCAGAAGACAATTATGTACAATGCTTTAAAAACTGCCAGCGCAACAGACCAGCAGTGTTCATGATGCTAATTGGCGAGTACACGAGGTTCGGTGGGAGAGAGTCGGCGGGCCCACAAAATTTGTGTCCAGGCGAACCGGGTTCAGCAGCTGGGCGGGCAGCGCATGTGAAAACGTGCTGCCCACTCAACTAGTACAAAAAAGAACGTTGGAGGATGGTGGGGGTAAGGTAGAAGAATGGGGGACAGCAGGCAGAAGGTGGCCACGTGACTGGGGGGTGGGGCCAACATTTTTTCACACATTGCGCACGAGAGAGAGAGAGAGAGAGAGAGAGAGAGAGAGAGAGAGAGAGAGAGAGAGAGA